CTCTCTCTCTCTCTCTCTCTCTCTCTCTCTCTCTCTCTCTTTGTGTGTAGGACGGGCGAGTCAGATGAAGCATCACAGCCGCTGAGGGCGAATTCAAAGACAACTCAGTTAGTGCCATTGCAGCCGTTGGAGTTACCTCCGCTTCATCAGAATACGATCCCGATCCCGATCCCGGCCCCTCGATGCTCTCACCAAGCCTCGGCCGCGCACCTGATGCCCTTAGCGAGTTAGGTCTCCGCCACGTGGCATGTCGCCATTGTCGTACACACTTCTGACGAACAAGCAGCGATTGAAGCTGTTCCCTTTGCCAACCACTTGTGATGCGCTTAGGGAGTAACTTAGATCTCGGCCACGTGGCATGTCGTCATCGCCGCCCCCATCTACCGCTCACTGTCGCCTCCATTACGAGGTCAACTACTACTCTCCACACTGAGGAACATGATGATGATGATGAAGATGAAGACGCAGCTGCTGCTACTGCTGCTACTGCTGCTGCTGATGATGATGATGATGATGATTATGATGATGATGATGATGGCAAGGATAAGGAAGAGGAGGAGACAGAGGAGGAGACAGAGGAGGAGACAGAGGAGGAGACAGAGGAGGAGACAGAGGAGACGATGAGGAGGAGGAGAGCCAGGGGGTGGAGGAGGAGGAGGAGAGAGAGGAGGCGGAGGAGGAGGAGGAGGAGATGGTGGACAAAGATGATGAGGACGAGGACGAAGGCGAGACGATACGATCCGGATCCCGGTGCCGGTTGACTGTCGGAATTATTGCTTACGGGAGCGCAGTGGACTAAATCCACATCAGCTTATTGATGATGACTATCGTGATGATGACGATGACGATGATGGTGATGATGACGATGAGGAGGGGGAGGAGGAGGAGGAGGAGGAGCACAACAGGGAGTATGAGAGACAAGAGGTGTACTGACACTAGGCAGTTTTGGATGAATCTGAACGAAACCAAGGTCAATTACATCCAGTTAAGTCGAGTATGCCGAACTTGTCCCTCATATTACTCGATGATGATAAAGAGCAAGCCATTTGAGAAAGGGGATAGATGGGCGATCCTTCTGAGAAACGTGGATGCAGAAAAACGAAGAAGAAAAAAGCACGTGGATTCAAGAGAGTACCTAGCGATCGCAATGCACCATAATTAATGACAGTTCGTACTCAGAGTGGAAAGCGCCCAGGGAATCGGGCCGTAATTGGGGGCAGGTTCATCCACACCAAGCCCTAGTGCGAGTACCCCCTTAGTTTACGAGACCACCGATCATAGCGATGCACCTTCTTTTTTTCTTTTTTTTTTACCTCCTTTTTTTTTTCCTTTTTTTTCTTTTTTTTTCCTTCTTAAACTGATCAGAACAGATTCTACACTTGATCTTAGGCCAAAAGGCCGAGAAAGGTGTAGCGACCCACCTTTACCCAGTGCTGATGATGGTAGTGATGACGACGAGGTATGCGGAGGAGAAGGGGGGGAGGAGGGGGGGGGGGGGGGGGGGAGGAGGAGGACGAGGACGAGGACGAGGGAGAACGACGACGTCGGCGGCAAAATCAACGAGAATAACTGACGGACTTGTGAGGGCGTACTGCCACTAGATCGTGTCCGTCTGTGGCGAATTACCTGTCAGATACATCGTTCCCTGGCCTTAGTTGCGGTCAGATGCATCCTTCCCGTGGGATTCTAGTAGACGAGTAAGCAAGCCCCCGTGTCCCAAAAGCGGGGGGTCCTGCAAGCATAGCTACCACCCACTATTAAGGGGGGACCGGCATGTTGCCCAGTAGGGTGGGGCCGCCGGTGGGGGGGACCGGCTAACGCAAAGACCGAGCATTTTGCCACTAGCTGCGCCTCCCATCTACTCTCCCCCCCTCCCCCTCCCCATCGAGGTAGCCCCAATACCCCACTGCAGTCGGTGGCCAATTGCCTCCGGGATTACAGTTCGCCGCAGCCAGGGGGCTGCGCTTTACCCGGTTTGCATTTTTTGGGGGGGGCCAAATGTCGACGACCTTTTTGGGGGGTTGGAGCGGCATAGAGAGGGGTGGGAATATGGAGCAGAAGGGTGCGGTCCTTGTCATAAGACCGACTGGTAGAGGCGGCCTTTTTGGGGG